GATTTGGAACATGGATAGATATAATGGACTTCTACAAGAAGATATTGTCACCATGCACATGCATACACGTGCATGTACGTGCGCTGCAATCTGATTGGCTGAAACTTTGAACAGCTATAACTCCCTTGGTTTTCAACCAAACGGGGTGGGATTTAGAAATAGATAAATGTAATGGACTTCTACAAGAAAGTATTTCGCCATGCTCATGTGAGCACGTGCGTGCACTTGAAATGAGTAAAATCAAAAATACAATTGAATTAGCGTATTTTTTAATACTTTTGGATTAAATACTTTCATATTTAGTGTATTAAAATCTATAGATTGTGAAGACAAGATTATATGGTCATTACGCACGTGCATTCACATGCGCACACGTGCAATGCTAAAATTTAGAAATAAACCTGAATGAACTTGGTAAACTTCTGGGTAAACGTTGTTAAAGTCTCAAATGCATAGAGTTTGTCTTATTTAATGAAGCTTATAGGGAATATGGCACCAAAAGGGAGTTGGGGAGCGTTTGGGGAACATCTGTAACGGTTTACAATTAGCACTAGTTATTATGTTCCCCAAACGAAGTTGGGGAACATATTGTTTTTACTCTGTTTCTTATTATTATTCTTTTTTCTTCTTATTTCTTCTCCGGACTTTTTTTGTCCGCGAGTGTTCTCAGAAACTGTTCACCCAACTAAGCTAAAACCTTTTTAGGGTTAATAGGTGTGTAGTGTAGGTGTGCGGAACAAAGGTCATTTTGCGCGCATACGCATGCACGTGCGTGCGCGTGATATGAATGAAATGACTGATTTACTTAATATTAGTATAACTTTTATATTTTTTAATGAAATGATTTGAAACTTATTATATAAAGATATATTAATAGTGAAGATAATGTGACACTGTAAATTAGCACGAACTCACGCGCATGCACGTGCGCTTCGCTCTGATTGGCTGAAACAAAAATCTCAATATCTTTTCTGTTTTCTGACGAAATGCTATGAAATTTAAAACTTAGGCATACTTTAGGATATCCTACAATATGATATATAGCAATTGTCATGAAATTACGCGCATGCACGTGCGCTGCAATCTGATTGGCTGAAACTTTAAATGGCTATAACTCCATTGGTTTTCAACCAAACAGCATGGGATTTAGAACATAGACAGATATAATGGACTCCTAGAAGAAGGTTTGGTCATCATGAACATGCTTGCACGTGCATGAACGTGCGCTTCGCTCTGATTGGCTGAAACAAAATTCTCAATATCTTTTTTGTTTTTGACGAAATGCTTTGAAATTTAAAAACATAGGCATGCTTTAGGATATCCTACAATATGATATATAATAATTTTCATCAAATCACGCACATGCACGTGCACTGCAATCTGACTGGTTGAAACTTTAAATGGCTATAACTCCATTGGTTTTCAACCAAACAGGATGGGATTCAGAACATAAATAGACATTATAGACTCCTACAAAAGGGTATGATCATGATGCACATGCATGCACGTGCGCGCACGTGAAAGGAGTAAAATTACAAATACACTAGATTAAACATTTTTTTGGATTAAATGCTGTAATATTTAGTATATTTAGTATATTAAAATATATGAATAGTGTAGACAAGATGATATAGTAATTATGCACATGCATTCAAATGCGCATACGTGCAATGCTAAAATTGATTACTTCTGGGAAAACTTTGTTAAAATCCTAAATGTAACGCGTTTGTCTTATTTAATGAAGCTTACAGGGAATATGGCACAAAAGGGAGCTGGGGAGCGTTTGGGGAACATCTGTAACGGTTCCCGTTACAATTAGCCCTAGTTATTATTCTTATTATTTTTCTTCTTCCTGGGAAAATTTTGTCCACGAGTGATCTTGTAAATTACACATCCGACTTAGGTGAAACCTTTTTAGGGTCAGAAGGCATGTTATGTAGAGTTGCCGAACGAAGGTCATTTTGCGCGCACGTGCTTGCAAGAGCGTGCACGTGCAAAACTTGAAATGACCAATATATAATGGATATAACCGTAACTTTTCCATTTTTAGACGAAATGTTTTGAAACTCATAATGTAAGGATATAAGGGTAGTATGCACAACATGACATGGTCAAAATAGCAAGATCGCACGTGCAAGCACATGCGCTTCGCTCTGATTGGCTGAAACTAAAGTCTCAATATCTTTCTTGTTTTTTGATAAAATCATTTGAAATTTTGAACATAGTCATACATTAGGGAGATCTACAGCCCGTAATAAAAGAAATATCATGAAAGCATGTGCATGCACGTGTGCTTGCAAGAGCTCGCACGTGCAACACGAGAAATGTCCAATATAATTGATACATACGTAACTATTTGAATTATTGATGATATGCTTTAAAACTCATATTAGAAGTTTATATTAGAAGCATAGACAAGTTGATATGGTCAAAAAAGCAAGATTTCACGCGCATGCACGTGCGCTTCGCTCTGATTGGCTGAAACTTAAGTCTCAATATCTTTCTTGTTTTTTGACGAAATCCTTTGAAATTTTGAACATAGGCATTTATTAGGATATCCTACAATAAGATACATAGCAATTATCATGAAAATGCGTGCATGCACGTGCGCTACAATCTGATTGGCTTATGCTTTAAGTAGCTATAACTCCCTTGGTTTTCAACTAAACAGGATGGGATTTGGAACATGGATAGATATAATGGACTTCTACAAGAAGATATTGTCACCATGCACATGCATACACGTGCATGTACGTGCGCTGCAATCTGATTGGCTGAAACTTTGAACAGCTATAACTCCCTTGGTTTTCAACCAAACGGGGTGGGATTTAGAACATAGATAAATGTAATGGACTTCTACAAGAAAGTATGGTCGCCATGCTCATGTGAGCACGTGCGTGCACTTGAAATGAGTAAAATCAAAAATACAATTGAATTAGCGTATTTTTTAATACTTTTGGATTAAATACTTTCATATTTAGTGTATTAAAATCTATAGATTGTGAAGACAAGATTATATGGTCATTACGCACGTGCATTCACATGCGCACACGTGCAATGCTAAAATTTGAATGAACTTGGTAAACTTCTGGGTAAACGTTGTTAAAGTCTCAAATGCATAGAGTTTGTCTTATTTAATGAAGCTTATAGGGAATATGGCACCAAAAGGGAGTTGGGGAGCGTTTGGGGAACATCTGTAACGGTCCCCGTTACAATTAGCACTAGTTATTAGGGTCTTCCGCTTCCTTCGGAAGACCCTACTGTTATTCTACTGTTTCTTATTATTATTTTATTTTTTTTTCCCGCTCGATTTTTGACAGGCGATTTCTCAAAGACCTTTGGACTGATTTTTATGAAACTTTCAGGTTAGATACCTTGTAATTAAACCTATTTACACCTGTTTTCAATTTTTTGATGCATGCCTTTAATTGTGAGTTATTGCCCTTTAATTGATAATTTTGATGTCTCGTTTCCACTAAAAATCTCAAGAACGACGTAAGATATTTACACGAAAGTTGGAGAACTTGTAGCCAATACATTGTAGATGTGCAGAACGATAAAATTATAAGCTGATTTCCTAAAGTTTGGAAGCTATAAAACGGCAAATTTTAGTAATTTTTTTTTCTTGAATTTTTGCTACTTTTTGTGTAATAACTTTTGAACCGAGAATAATTTGGTAAGAAATATATAACAAAAGTTGTGTGTAATTACGAGAGCTTTCATATTAGATTAATGAAAAGGGGCTGGCCCCTATAATTAGGGGTTAATAGCTCATACACGTTTTTTCTGATAGCTAAAAATATTGGTATATTATGAAAAAGTTTGACTGAAATAATTTCGAACTTATAAAATCTTGTCATTTGATATAAAAAGAAATAAACTTCCAGCTATATTTAATTGTTTTTTATATAAAACAAGTACATGTATATGAGAAACCTTTCAGGAACAAGTTGTCTACTATAGCCAGCCAAGCCTTTACTGCATACATGTATGTGCACATTTTTAGTTGATGCATCTAAAAGATATAGTTTTGATTCGGTGTTTCTTTGTTTTCTTTTTATTCAAATAATTTTAAAATGTGATGATGTACACAACAATAATTAGTACCTAGTTTAGAGGATTTTTTCGCGCTTGTTTGTAAACGGTGTCGAGTGGTTACGACCCGATTTTTGTGTTCGACCCGCGTGGTAACGACCCAAGTGGTTTCGACCTACTTATAATTATATACATACAGGTAAATAGAGGGGTTCACACTATAAGGTATGGTGTATACCTTACGTATACACATGGTTTCAAGGTAGCTGTATGGCTTTAAGTTCAGGGAGGGATACGTGTCAATTATTGGTTGTCAACATTGAAGTCAATAGTAAACTTGAGATTGATTTTAGGACAAGGATGCAATTAATTTCATTTGAAATAAATTATAAATAATTTATAAATATTTTAACATTTTCCTTAAAAACTAATCAGCCCTTTGTGGGATAATATACGTAATAATAAATGGTTTAGATAAACATAATTATTTAGCAATATTTTTAATAATGAATAAACAGTCACGATCGGTTAAAAAAAAATCTGAATATTTTGAATTAGACCCCCAAAAATGTTTTTAAACTATCGAAATTGTTATAATTAATATTGCTTTGGAACGAAACCACTTGGGTCAAAACCACGCGGGTCGAACAAGGAAAAGGGTCGAAACCACGCGGGTCGAACAAGGAATCGGGTCGTACCCACCCGCGCGGCATTGTGGGAAATAGGAAGGTACTAAAGACGCGATGTAGGGGCCTACTAAACACTTATTTGACCTGATTCAAATTTGTCTGTAAATGTTCAAAACAATTGGATTTTTGTATAGCATATGCCTCGAAGTCATAAAGTCTGTACATAAGTAATTTAAAATACTCAATATTACCATTTAATTAAAAATTAAAACGTCAGGTAAATATCAGGTCTCTAGTATATCCCGTTTTCAGTGTGCCCCTTCGAGTCGACGTCGGACACATGTTTGTCATGGTTTACAAACTGAAAATAGAATGATTTGTGAAGTTGAACATTTTCTCACAAAGAATCCGTTTGTAGACATGCACACTCATTTAATCTGGAGCTACGAAGATTCAAGTACTTTGTCACTTCTCTGGAACATTATTCTAAGCAGAATTATCCCGATTCATATATTCTAAGAATCTTGTGTGAATTGTTTACGAGGAAATTCTGACTGTCACATTAACAAGGATGAACACTCTTGACTCTGCTTCGGATTCCCCAGTGATAATTGTATCGAGTGATGAAAGAGCTGACGGCGACATTTTAATGTATGATTGGCTTGGACCATTGGAATGAAGGTTAGAATATTTTTATTACTTAAAATTTACACTACTGATTACATGACAGTGACGTACATTGATGTTATTAGAAATACACAGACACACCGATATATTATCTGTTTTACAGTTCAGACGCTCTCTGTTTGCCTTGTAAATCCCCACAGCTTTATATTTTATTTTTTTTAAATTTGAGGATGTAATTTCAACAGTCCTACTATCTATCATAGTGATCATACTCTATAATTCAAACTGCACTTAATGTTACAGAATATATTCAACTAATTATATATTGACAGTGTGACTGTAAGGGTGAGGGCAGATACTTATTTAGTTTTAATTTAGATTGTGCTTGTCAAGCCGCATTTGACATTTGGTGCATCCATGCTCAATGTTCACACTGAGAGTTTATTCAAATGTTTAATTCGAATGAATTCACTGCTCGTTAAATTACTTCCCATTAGCTCCATGTGAACATGAGTAAGGATAGCTAATTCAAATTAAATAGAAATGAATTTTGAATGTAGCTTAAACATGTTAAAGAAGCTAAGCACTGTGTGTCCAAAGTATACTGCGGAAAAATTGTGTGGAGCAATGTGCAAGTCACAATCTTCTTTTGCCAAGGTGTTATCATAAGAGCTCGCATTATGGGCAGGGATTTGTGCTGCTGTCTGGACTCGCTATAAATAGATGTTCTCAAAAAGTCTTAATTATTTAATATCATACTTTACTGACAAAAAAGGACAAATATTGCTCAGTTAAATTGCAAAAGAAATTTGTTTAAAAAAATTGTAATAATAGAAAGTTTGCTTTTTTTGTTTGATAAGACTGCTGTAATAGTTCAATGTTTGTTTATTTGCCTTAATCATACATTTTTCAGTCATTTCATGGTGCCACCACTTGAGATGGTATTAGCTGCAAATATAGACTTGTACTCAGCACTTATTGCCTTTAAGGTATGAGATCCATTTTGTGCTAACACCTACCGTGACACAGAATCTTGGTTTATGCAGTCTCATAGGAGTAACCTGTCTAAAGCATTTAGCAATGGGATTGGAACCTGCGACGTAAGGTTCAGCTTCTTATTGATACTTTGATTTATAATATTTATTTGAGAATTTCACTCATTCACATACTTAGAGATGTTGATATATATTGTTGAATAGCATCAATTTAGACCTTTAATTAGCTAAGTAAACATGTACTGTGAGGTTTTTAAGGTCTCATTCATTTTATATGCCAGATGCATGTTAAGGAACATTACTGCATAAATGTTTTTGTCTTAAATTTGAAGCTTTTTACTAATATAGAGATATGTTAGTTTTAAACCTCTTCAAATTAGGGTAGACCTTTACTTTAAACTCAGCAATGTGAGTGTGTTGTGTGAACTTGTGTTAGCGAGACAGTGTGTTGTATGAATTTGTGTTAGCAAGGCAGTGTGTTTTGTGAACTTAATTGTGTTAGCCTGACAGTGGGTTGTGTGAATTCTTGTTAGCTTGACAATGTGTTGCGTAAACTCGTGTTAGCGGGACAGCGTGTTGTGTAAAATCGTGTATAAAGTGTAAGTGTGACAGTGTGTTGTGTAAACTCGTGTTAGCTAGACAGAGTGTTGATTGAACTCGTATTAGCGAGACTTCGTGTTGTGTAAACTGGTGTTAGTGAGACTGCGTGTTGTGTAAACTCGTGTTAGCGAGACTGCGTGTTGTGTAAACTCATGTTAGCGAGACAGCGTTTTGTGTGTATTCTTATTAACGAGACAGCATGTTGTGTGAATTCGTGTTAGCGTGACAGTGTGTTGTGTGAACTTGTTATCCTGAAAATTTGTCGTGTGAACTGGTGTTAGAGAGATAGTGTGTTGTGTGAACTCATGTTAGCAAGATTGCATATTGTGTGAACTCGTGTTAGCCAGACTGCGTGTAATGTGAACTCGTGTTAGCGATATTGCATGATTTTTGAATTTGTGTTAGCGTGACAGTGTGTTGTGTGAACTCGTGTTAGCCTGACAGTGTGTTGTGTGAAATGGTATTAGGATGACAGTGTGTTGTGTGAAATGGTATTAGGATGACAGTGTGTTATCGCAACAGCGTTTGGTGCATACTTGTGTTAGTGAATAGTGAGACAGCCTGTTTTGAGACTTCGTGTTAGCGTGACAGTGTGTTGTGTGAATTCTTGTTAGCCTGACAGTGTGTTGTGTGAAATGGTATTAGAATGACAGTGTGTTGTGTGAAATGGTATTAGGATGACAGTGTGTTATCGCAACAGCATTTGGTGTGAACTTGTGTTAGTGAATAGTGAGACAGCCTGTTTTGTGACTTTGTATTAGCGTGACAGTGTATTGTGTAAACTCGTGTTAGCGTGACAGTGTATTGTGTAAACGCGTGTTAGTGAGACTGCGTGTTGTGTAAACTCATGTTAGCGTGACAGTGTGTTGTGTGAATTCATCTAAGCGTGACAGTGTGTTGCGTGTACTTGTGTTAGCTAGACAGTGTGTTGTATGAACTCGTATTAGCGAGACTGCGTGTTGTGTAAAACTTGTGTTAGCGAGACAGCGTGTTGTGTGAACTTGTGTTAGCGAGACAGTGTGTTTGTGAATTCGTGTTAGCATGATAGTGTGTTGTGTGAACTCGTGTTAGCCTGATATTTTGTTGTGTGAAATTGTATTAGCGTGACAGTGTGTTGTGTGTTAGTGTGACAGCGTGTGGTGCGAACTTGTGTTAGTGCGAAAGTGTTTTTCAGTGTTGTGATGGCGAGCTGTGTGATAGCCTAATGGCGTCTTTTGTGTCGGTAAGATGGCACGCTTTTATGAAAGTGCTATTGAGCTTTAGCAAGTGGCCCTATCTGGACACGCCTTATTATAATTGATCAGTTCTCAGATATACAGTGAATTACCGGTATTATTGTCACCATGAAATCAGCATTTACAGTTGCAATTACCTAGTTAGTAATCATAAGATATTGGTTTGTCAGTTTTAAAATTATGGTGTTCCAATGATGTGAAGTTGCAGTGTGTTAGCATGTTAATTTCAACAGACTGCCACTCCAATGCAGCTTTAAACAACATGCTGCTGTGTTAACACAAAACAAAATATCATGCAAACACAACTTTAAACAATCTGTTGAGTGTTAGCTTCACTGCATGTTGGATTCAGTGTGCTGGCATATTATCACTGACGTACATGCTAGCACATTGTCACCTCGTGCTAGTATGTTGTCATAAATACTCTAGCACATTATCCTAAACCCACTAGTGCATGATTACTTTGCACTTGTATGTTGTCTTATTAGGGAATAGCATAAATGACTGCCTTAACTGGTGTAAACTTCTTTTAATTGATGAAAGAGTACATTAAAATTTACAAATTATACACAGAAAATGTGACAATATCTTATCTCTCAATTTGATAATCTTATTTATAATCTCATGAATTGCACTTTTTATTAGTAAAAGAATTATAGATTAAAAAATTTCAATTTCTTTTGGATAGGTGTGACTCATCTGAAGACTGAATTTTGATACCAAGCATGACCATGATTTGCCAGAAGATCATCTGTTTGGATGTGACATGGAATAAACAGCATTGTGAAAATAAGTCAAGTTTTGGTTTGTGAAGACAATTTTTAAACACACTGTGTATCATTTTTAAATTTTGATTTGACAACATAAATCCCCAAATATGAACATATCAATTGCTCTCAGTTTTTCAAGTGAAATAGTTTTTGTAACAGAAATACATGTACCAGTAATTACATTGGAATAAATGTTATTTTTAAATATAATAATATTTTGTTTGTGTAGCATGTTGACCTCTTTATTAAGGTCTTCCCTTTCAAAGTTTAGACTTACTTATTCTAATGATTAAGATAGATCCTCTGTCTTCAGCAGGAATAGAAGATCTTGTAATACATGTACGAGGGGTGTTAGTGTGTTCGCGGACAAGTTTTATTGTGAGCGCGCTATTTCCACGAAACCGGTCAAACTTTGCAGATAAAATCTTTACCTTTTTTCCAATTAATATACAAGAATTTGGTGCTCTCCGATGATTATTGAAAAATATACAGCTTTTTTATTTTGATAAATCTTGCTTCACGGAGCATGCTACATTTTGGCACGTTTACATCACAAAGACTCTTCATTAAAATTAAAAATTGCACAATTGTACCGCAAAGAGTTTTCTGATATTTTACCTGCCGCTATAGTATTCATGAAACGTCACTGGGAGAAATTTTGAACTAAATTGGAGGGTTATATGACTGTTTTATAGCCGTTTTTAACTGATCAACGCTTAAAAACACAGCCAAAAATCGGAACGTCATTTAGCGTCATGGAGCACTGCACTATGTAAAAATTATGTATGCAGACTGGAAAATGTCTAAAAAGAGATTAAAATGTTCAAGATGCTGCCGGGAATATCCTACACCTACAAAGGACAAGTTTTCAAATGGTTGTAGCTTCATAAGAATGGAAGGATTAACATTTTGAATGATTACCTCCATCGATACTTCAATACCCCCGTATCGCATGGACGTTGCGTTGCGCCTATATGGTTTTGCATAGTTTCCATACCTGAGCGATTAACTGCATAGACTTTTTTTAAAGATCTCAATAATATCCGAATCAGTACAAAAGACATTATATAAAAGAAAAGTAATATGTCTTGATATAGATATTCAATTTTAAAGTAGAAAATAGATAAGAAAAATCTGAAGAAATGAAAGATTTATAGAACACTGCGACAAAACTTTACCGGTTGAAATCGGGTTGTCACGTCGCCTTACGTCAAGTGATTGCTCCGTGAATTCCATGACCTCATAGTAAAAATCGTTGTAAATTTTCAAGATTTTATTATATGGACCTGATTTTTTACATACCAATAAACAAAATGTAGGAATTTATTCAGACATAGGTCATACTTCACAGTACAAAATAGATTTTCCGTAATTCAAAGTGTCCGCGAACTTTTCTACACGACCCTCGTATGTGTATTTTTTACAGTATAATGTAAAAAAAATTGTTATTTTGGCACATACAACTAATTAAAGGCATAAACATGTGTATGATTCCAAGGAATTCAGTACATAGGGCATGTACATGTAGTTTTCTAAAACAAGATTGAAGAGATGTCCAGTCGCATTTCAATGTCAACTGCAAAACTGTGCCTGTTGCATACTTATTAGCCCATATGAGCTAAAGGAACCAGTAAATCTTTTTAAAAACATAATTTTATCCATTATCATCATTGTCTAAAATTTCACAATATCATTTTCCAGAACCAAAGTGAAACTTGGCACAGAGCATCCTTAGTGTAGGGGATTCAAATTGTTCTTATGCAGGGCAATACCTTCAAAGAGATTTGTTTCTTTAATGCTGTAAATGTATTATATTTAGCTTGTACAATATTTGGTGGAAATTGACTTTTGAATAAGTTAGCGTAGATATTCTTATTTATGTTTATGTACAAGACTTTTAGCTTTGTACTTGATTTAGTGATTGCTGCATTCCGCCAAAGCCGCTAAAAAAGAATACACAGCCATATGTAATGTGTTTACAATATACCTTTCAGAGAATTTTACACTCCTATTGAGGTAAAACCACCAGTTGCTAGTGGAAAGCTGCAAATTCGAAACATACACAACACATTTCTGTGCGTTTATTATAAAAGTATTGTTCTACTTACTGATTGCAACTAATGAAGATTGTTCATCATTATTGTAAATACATTTGGATTTTTTGAATTATTATATAATTTGTTTATTTTATTTACTAAGTTATATTGTATATTAAATGATTTTAAAGCCATTTTTAAGATGGTAATGTAGCAAAACACTTATGTTTCTGTAGTATGACACGTTTCACAAACATAATTGCAACAAACATGATATATCCGATATCAAAAGTCATAATATTGGAAGTTAAACTGTTGTGGATACGATTTCAAGAATGCTGTTAGAGAGAGTACCCTTTAGACCTCATGCTCACACCAAATTAAAGAATTCAAGTAAGGGTTTCTGAGACAAATCGAAAAAGAGAATGTTAGCAAAGTTGACAATCTAGACAGAAACATTTAATCTTTTGCTTATCGCTAGGAAGGAAGACCCACTCGTTGCTTTGCAACGAGCTTTGCTCTAGTTATTATTAGGGTCTTCCGTCTCCAACGGAAGACCCTTCTATTATTCTATTGTTTCTTTTTCACTTTTATTATTCTTCCTTTTTTCTTCTTACAATTTTTGTGCAGAAGATTTCTCGGAGATGGCTAGATCGATTGATTTGAAATTTTCAGGAAAGATTTGTCTTCATCCAAACCTGATCCATTTTTTTCATTTTTTTGAAATTCACTTCCGGTCGGAAGTTATCGCCCTTTGATCGAAAATTTGATGACCTACTTGTCTGTGATGGAACTCAAAATCGGCTCAAGCTAGAAAGCTGAAATTTTCAGGGATGATAGAGGACATGTTGCCATATTGCAACGTGGTCAGGATATTTTCCGGAAGTGCCTAGTATGGAAGCTCGGTAGGGGTCAAAATTTAGGACACGAATCACGACTGATTTTTGGAGACATTTTGCAACATATCTTTTAAAGTATAATTATTTTGTTAGGACATACTGAGCAATATTTGTGCAGAATGACAAGATCTTTCATATAATATCAAGAAAAAAGTGCTGACTCATCACATTAGGGGCCAAGAGGGGCCAAAAGTCTTTATTCGATAACTCTGTAACAGTCAATATTTTGTTATACATTACTGAAGCAAAGTTGTTTATCTCCACAATTTACAACTATATATTATAATTTTAATGTTGTATGAAACATTATTAGGGGCCACAAGGGGCCAGAATGCTAAATCTTTGACGCTTTATATCTCAAAAGTGGAAAATATTTTGATAAGTAATATTGAACAAAAGATGTTAAAAATCATGTTCTAAACAATTTGCAACCTTTCATTTTTCGCTAAACGTCCCCATTAAGGATTTGAAGGGTTGGCCCCTAAATATTTCTTTTGCAAATAACTCGAAAACGAAAGAGAATCTCTGAATAGTTGTTGAACAAAAAGTGTTCAAAATCCTAAGAGGTTTAAGATAAAATCCAGAAAAAGGGGCTGGACACTCAAATTAGGGGCAGAGAGGCGCCAAAAGTCTTCAATCAATAACTCTTTAGTTGTTAATATTTTGTAATACATTACTGAAGCAAAGATGTTTACCTCAACCATTTACAAATATATATTATGATTTTCATGTCGTATGGTACATAATTAAGGGCCAAAAGGGGCCAAAATACATAATCTTTGACGCTTTATATCTCAAAAGTGGGAAATATTTTGATAAGTAATATTGAACAAAAGATTTTCAAAATCATGTTCTGAACAAGATACAACCTTTCATTTTTCGCTAAACGTCCCCATTAAGGAGTTAAGGGGTTGGCCCCTAAATGTTTCTTTTGCAAATAACTCGAAAACGAAAAAGAATCTCTAAATAGTTGTTGAACAAACCGTTATGAAAATCATGAGAGCTTTCAGATGATATGAAGAAAAAAGGGCTGATCCCTAATGTGTGGGGCCGTGAGGGGCCAAAAGTCGATTTTTTAAAAGTCTCTAATGTTCAATGTCTTTTTACAGTTTATGGAAAATCATAATTTAGAATGAAAATCTCAATCAAAATCTTATCTCATCTTATCAAGAATAGGACGGAAGACCCACTCGTTGCTCGCAACGAGATCGTATCTAGTTCTTATTATTTTTCTTCTTCCTGGGAAAATTTTGTCCACGAGTGATCTTGTAAACTACACATCCGACTTAGGTGAAACCTTTTTAGGGTCAGAAGGCATGTTATGTAGAGTTGCCGAACGAAGGTCATTTTGCGCGCACGTGCTTGCAAGAGCGCGCACGTGCAACACGTGAAATGACCAATATAATGGATATTGCCATAACTTTTCTATTTTTTGATGAAATTTTTTGAAACTCATAATGTAAGGATACATTAGTAGTATAGACAAGATAGCATGGTCAAAATAGCAAGATCTCACGCGCATGCACGTGCGCTTCGCTCTGATTGGCTGAAACTAAAGTCTCAATATCTTTCTTGTTTCTTGTCATAATCCTTTGAAATTTTGAACATAGTCCTACATTTTGAAGATCTACCACAAGATATAAAAGAATTTTCATGAAAGCATGCGCATGTGCGTGTGCTGCAAGCTGATTGGCTGAAACTTTAAATGGCAATATCTCCTTTGTTTTTTGACGAAATTCTTTGAAATTTAAAATATAGTCATGCATTAGGATATCCTACAAAATGATATAGAAAAAAAAAAATCATGAAATCACGCGCATACACGTGTGCTGCAACCTGATTGGCTGAAACTTTAAATGGCTATTTCTCCTTTGTTTTTTGACGAAATTCTTTGAAATTTAAAATATAGTCATGCATTAGGATATCCTACAAAATGGTAAAAAAAATCACGAAATCACGCGCATGCACGTGTGCTGCAATCTGATTAGCTGAAACTTTAAATGGCTATAACTCCCTTGTTTTTCAACCAAACAGGATGGGATTTAGAACATAGATAGATGTAAGGGACTCCTACAAGAAGGTATGATCATCATGAGTGTGCACGCACGTGCGTGCATTTGAAACGAGTATATTTAAAAATACACTTGAATGAGTGATTTTTATTACTTTTGGACTGAATGCTTTAATATATAGTATATTAAAATATATAAATAGTGTAGACAAGATGATATGGTCATAACGCACATGCATTCATATGCGCTTGGGTGCAATGCTAAAAATTGAATATAATTGGTATCCTTCTGGGAAAACGTTGTTAAAGTCAAAAATGCACAGAGTTTGTCTTATTTAATGAAGCTTACAGGGAATATGGCACCGAAAGGGAGTTAGGGAGCGTTTGGGG